ATGTAAATCTCAGTTACTGTACAGAGTTTAGAGGAGCCTGGGCTTCTCCGCAACCTGATGTAAATCTCAGTTACTGTACAGAGTTTAGAGGAGCCTGGGCTTCTCCGCAACCTGATGTAAATCTCAGTTACTGTACGGAGTTTAGAGGAGCCTGGGCTTCTCCGCAACCTGATGTAAATCTCAGTTACTGTACGGAATTTAGAGGAGCCTGGGCTTCTCCGCAACCTGATGTAAATCTCAGTTACTGTACAGAGTTTAGAGGAGCCTGGGCTTCTCCGCAACCTGATGTAAATCTCAGTTACTGTACGGAGTTTAGAGGAGCCTGGGCTTCTCCGCAACCTGATGTAAATCTCAGTTACTGTACAGAGTTTAGAGGAGCCTGGGCTTCTCCGCAACCTGATGTAAATCTCAGTTACTGTACGGAGTTTAGAGGAGCCTGGGCTTCTCCGCAACCTGATGTAAATCTCAGTTACTGTACAGAGTTTAGAGGAGCCTGGGCTTCTCCGCAACCTGATGTAAATCTCAGTTACTGTACGGAGTTTAGAGGAGCCTGGGCTTCTCCGCAACCTGATGTTATTCTCAGTTACTGTACAGAGTTTAGAGGAGCCTGGGCTTCTCCGCAACCTGATGTAAATCTTAGTTACTGTACGGAGTTTAGAGGTGCCTGGGCTTCTCCGCAACCTGATGTAAATCTCAGTTACTGTACGGAGTTTTCCACAACCTGATGTAAATCTCAGTTACTGTACAGAGTTTAGAGGAGCCTGGGCTTCTCCGCAACCTGATGTAAATCTCAGTTACTGTACGGAGTTTAGAGGAGCCTGCGCTTCTCCGCAACCTGATGTAAATCTCAGTTACTGTACGGAGTTTAGAGGAGCCTGGGCTTCTCCGCAACCTGATGTAAATCTCAGTTACTGTACGGAGTTTAGAGGAACCTGGGCTTCTCCGCAACCTGATGTAAATCTCAGTTACTGTACGGAGTTTAGAGGAGCCTGGGCTTCTCCGCAACCTGATGTAAATCTCAGTTACTGTACAGAGTTTAGAGGAGCCTGGGCTTCTCCGCAACCTGATGTAAATCTCAGTTACTGTACGGAGTTCAGAGGAGCCTGGGCTTCTCCGCAACCTGATGTAAATCTCAGTTACTGTACGGAGTTTAGAGGAGCCTGGGCTTCTCCGCAACCTGATGTAAATCTCAGTTACTGTACGGAGTTTAGAGGAGCCTGGGCTTCTCCGCAACCTGATGTAAATCTCAGTTACTGTACGGAGTTTAGAGGAGCCTGGGCTTCTCCGCAACCTGATGTAAATCTCAGTTACTGTACAGAGTTTAGAGGAGCCTGGGCTTCTCCGCAACCTGATGTAAATCTCAGTTACTGTACGGAGTTTAGAGGAGCCTGGGCTTCTCCGCAACCTGATGTAAATCTCAGTTACTGTACAGAGTTTAGAGGAGCCTGGGCTTCTCCGCAACCTGATGTAAATCTCAGTTACTGTACGGAGTTTAGAGGAGCCTGGGCTTCTCCGCAACCTGATGTAAATCTCAGTTACTGTACAGAGTTTAGAGGAGCCTGGGCTTCTCCGCAACCTGATGTAAATCTCAGTTACTGTACGGAGTTTAGAGGAGCCTGGGCTTCTCCGCAACCTGATGTAAATCTCAGTTACTGTACAGAGTTTAGAGGAGCCTGGGCTTCTCCGCAACCTGATGTAAATCTCAGTTACTGTACGGAGTTTAGAGGAGCCTGGGCTTCTCCGCAACCTGATGTAAATCTCAGTTACTGTACAGAGTTTAGAGGAGCCTGGGCTTCTCCGCAACCTGATGTAAATCTCAGTTACTGTACGGAGTTTAGAGGAGCCTGGGCTTCTCCGCAACCTGATGTAAATCTCAGTTACTGTACGGAGTTTAGAGGAGCCTGGGCTTCTCCGCAACCTGATGTAAATCTCAGTTACTGTACGGAGTTTAGAGGAGCCTGGGCTTCTCCGCAACCTGATGTAAATCTCAGTTACTGTACGGAGTTTAGAGGAGCCTGGGCTTCTCCGCAACCTGATGTAAATCTCAGTTACTGTACAGAGTTTAGAGGAGCCTGGGCTTCTCCGCAACCTGATGTAAATCTCAGTTACTGTACAGAGTTTAGAGGAGCCTGGGCTTCTCCGCAACCTGATGTAAATCTCAGTTACTGTACGGAGTTTAGAGGAGCCTGGGCTTCTCCGCAACCTGATGTAAATCTCAGTTACTGTACAGAGTTTAGAGGAGCCTGGGCTTCTCCGCAACCTGATGTAAATCTCAGTTACTGTACAGAGTTTAGAGGAGCCTGGGCTTCTCCGCAACCTGATGTAAATCTCAGTTACTGTACAGAGTTTAGAGGAGCCTGGGCTTCTCCGCAACCTGATGTAAATCTCAGTTACTGTACGGAGTTTAGAGGAGCCTGGGCTTCTCCGCAACCTGATGTAAATCTCAGTTACTGTACAGAGTTTAGAGGAGCCTGGGCTTCTCCGCAACCTGATGTAAATCTCAGTTACTGTACAGAGTTTAGAGGAGCCTGGGCTTCTCCGCAACCTGATGTTAATCTCAGTTACTGTACAGAGTTTAGAGGAGCCTGGGCTTCTCCGCAACCTGATGTAAATCTCAGTTACTGTACAGAGTTTAGAGGAGCCTGGGCTTCTCCGCAACCTGATGTAAATCTCAGTTACTGTACAGAGTTTAGAGGAGCCTGGGCCTCTCCGCAACCTGATGTAAATCTCAGTTACTGTACAGAGTTTAGAGGAGCCTGGGCTTCTCCGCAACCTGATGTAAATCTCAGTTACTGTACGGAGTTTAGAGGAGCCTGGGCTTCTCCGCAACCTGATGTAAATCTCAGTTACTGTACGGAGTTTAGAGGAGCCTGGGCTTCTCCGCAACCTGATGTAAATCTCAGTTACTGTACGGAGTTTAGAGGAGCCTGGGCTTCTCCGCAACCTGATGTAAATCTCAGTTACTGTACGGAGTTTAGAGGAGCCTGGGCTTCTCCGCAACCTGATGTAAATCTCAGTTACTGTACAGAGTTTAGAGGAGCCTGGGCTTCTCCGCAACCTGATGTAAATCTCAGTTACTGTACAGAGTTTAGAGGAGCCTGGGCTTCTCCGCAACCTGATGTAAATCTCAGTTACTGTACGGAGTTTAGAGGAGCCTGGGCTTCTCCGCAACCTGATGTAAATCTCAGTTACTGTACAGAGTTTAGAGGAGCCTGGGCTTCTCCGCAACCTGATGTAAATCTCAGTTACTGTACAGAGTTTAGAGGAGCCTGGGCTTCTCCGCAACCTGATGTAAATCTCAGTTACTGTACAGAGTTTAGAGGAGCCTGGGCTTCTCCGCAACCTGATGTAAATCTCAGTTACTGTACGGAGTTTAGAGGAGCCTGGGCTTCTCCGCAACCTGATGTAAATCTCAGTTACTGTACAGAGTTTAGAGGAGCCTGGGCTTCTCCGCAACCTGATGTAAATCTCAGTTACTGTACAGAGTTTAGAGGAGCCTGGGCTTCTCCGCAACCTGATGTAAATCTCAGTTACTGTACAGAGTTTAGAGGAGCCTGGGCTTCTCCGCAACCTGATGTAAATCTCAGTTACTGTACAGAGTTTAGAGGAGCCTGGGCTTCTCCGCAACCTGATGTAAATCTCAGTTACTGTACAGAGTTTAGAGGAGCCTGGGCTTCTCCGCAACCTGATGTAAATCTCAGTTACTGTACAGAGTTTAGAGGAGCCTGGGCTTCTCCGCAACCTGATGTAAATCTCAGTTACTGTACAGAGTTTAGAGGAGCCTGGGCTTCTCCGCAACCTGATGTAAATCTCAGTTACTGTACAGAGTTTAGAGGAGCCTGGGCTTCTCCGCAACCTGATGTAAATCTCAGTTACTGTACAGGAGTTTAGAGGAGCCTGGGCTTCTCCGCAACCTGATGTAAATCTCAGTTACTGTACGGAGTTTAGAGGAGCCTGGGCTTCTCCGCAACCTGATGTAAATCTCAGTTACTGTACGGAGTTTAGAGGAGCCTGGGCTTCTCCGCAACCTGATGTAAATCTCAGTTACTGTACAGAGTTTAGAGGAGCCTGGGCTTCTCCGCAACCTGATGTAAATCTCAGTTACTGTACGGAGTTTAGAGGAGCCTGGGCTTCTCCGCAACCTGATGTAAATCTCAGTTACTGTACAGAGTTTAGAGGAGCCTGGGCTTCTCCGCAACCTGATGTAAATCTCAGTTACTGTACAGAGTTTAGAGGAGCCTGGGCTTCTCCGCAACCTGATGTAAATCTCAGTTACTGTACAGAGTTTAGAGGAGCCTGGGCTTCTCCGCAACCTGATGTAAATCTCAGTTACTGTACAGAGTTTAGAGGAGCCTGGGCTTCTCCGCAACCTGATGTAAATCTCAGTTACTGTACAGAGTTTAGAGGAGCCTGGGCTTCTCCGCAACCTGATGTAAATCTCAGTTACTGTACAGAGTTTAGAGGAGCCTGGGCTTCTCCGCAACCTGATGTAAATCTCAGTTACTGTACAGAGTTTAGAGGAGCCTGGGCTTCTCCGCAACCTGATGTAAATCTCAGTTACTGTACAGAGTTTAGAGGAGCCTGGGCCTCTCCCCAACCTGATGTAAATCTCAGTTACTGTACAGAGTTTAGAGGAGCCTGGGCTTCTCCGCAACCTGATGTAAATCTCAGTTACTGTACAGAGTTTAGAGGAGCCTGGGCTTCTCCGCAACCTGATGTAAATCTCAGTTACTGTACGGAGTTTAGAGGAGCCTGGGCTTCTCCGCAACCTGATGTAAATCTCAGTTACTGTACAGAGTTCTCCGCAACCTGATGTAAATCTCAGTTACTGTACGGAGTTTTCCACAACTGTCGAATATCGAAATTACTCTGGAGATGTCAGAAATTAAACTTGCCGGGAAGTCCGAAGTGCTATAATGGGTGAAGGCTTTCTCGAGAAAGGAATGATTAAAATTTACCAAGGTACAGCTAATACTATATCGACCATATAACAACAGTACCCGAATAACAGAGAGGGATAGCATGGACCAGCCTGCAGGACAACTTGTCATCACACATGTTAGATTCACATGTTGGAAGACAGTAAGGGAGGGGAGTCCACTTTCCATTTAGACACCGAGCTTTTCCTTCCACGACAACGTCCGTGAGATTCAAAATACTTGTTTGAGCTGGGAGTGAGGTTTATCAAATATTGCCAAAATATTTTAATCAGGGCTGGAGGGAAGATAAGTCCGGTAGAATTCGATATTCGATAAGTCAGGTAAATAGTCATTCGATGGTGCACACTGGATAACGGATATCCATCATTCACATAAAACTTTAAAAGTAGAGAATAAAATGTGTTTACTGAAAATAAACAAACTGTAATAGCGGCAGGTTGGATCGCAGGTGACAAGAACGTACTGACTGGAGTCCTGGTCAGTGGTCACTATTCCGTTCAAAACAGTCAACTCTGGACAATCTGTAAGTAATACACTGTAGTTATTGTAACATTAAGAACCGGTTATTTACAAATACGCTCAATAAACTTGAAGTGCAAATCACCGATGAAAGAAAGTTGCTGACTTGTTGGAAATATAAAATATGATTTACAGGAATTCTTGAAACATGAAGCGGTTTAATGATTAATATCATTGGCGTAAATTCTTGGGAATAATTAAAACTGCTTTGATTTCCCTTACCTAAAGATGTGACAACAACTTCATAAACTTTTATATAACCGTGACTTGCAGATTTCCTCAATTTCACCATATCTCCTTCTGCGTCGCATGAAACACTGCAGAAAATGGAGACTAATTTTAAATTATATTTTAAGTCGCAAAATGATAAAAATGGAACAGTCAAACAGGCCCATAAATCCCAACCTTGCTTCAGCCCTTAGAGGTGGGGTAAGCCGTAAATCGTTTGAACCTCGTCGTATTTACCTTTATCAATGATAATTTTGCAAAACTGCAATTTTCGCAAACCTATAAGTCTGATCGACTTGGGTGAAGTCTTGATTTGTTGTTATTGTGCCACACGTTTTAACAAACACACCATTACGGTAAAGGTCTACTATAACACCACTCTCCAACATCTTACAGGACCTGTAGGCCTCTTCACTAGCCACACATGGATCACTTGTATTGTACCTGGGAATAATGGCTTGAACTTTTATAGAGGTCCATCTCAAAAGTTAAGTAACGTGAGCACATTTAATTGTATCAATTCTTTCAATTAAACTTTGGAACTTTAATTTAGACATTAAATCAAACTGCAGTTAGATTTCTTTAATTCAACATACCAGTTATCATAGAAGTTAGTGAAAATGCTGACATTGTTAACGTATCTCATTTCATCAAGAACAAACTCAATCCAAGCCTCGCCATCAATTGCTTCTGATCCTGAACGATGAGTTTAATCAGTGTGAACTAGGTAATAGATTTTACTGCTTATAGTAAGAGGAAGAAAACTTGATCTGTTACAGTGATGTACCGATAAGAGTGATCGCTGCTGGATTTAATGATTCTAAATCTCGTTATACTGTAAAAAATGATAAAAACGGTTGACTTGCTACTACCGCTGCAGGTTTTTAGGTTCATATCTTGCCCTGCTGATCCTGAAGCGTCACCACATTCGTCTAGAGAACTGCTTACTGATGCGCTGGTTATATTTACTCGGTGTTTCACCAATGGACCTGATAAAAACACGACTGTTGCAGGAAGAGCTTACGATTAGACAAACCCTTAAACACTTGGTAAAAGTAGATCTTGTCATTTGAGCGTTTTTCATCCCATAAAAAAGCAATGAAGTCGTTGCAATGAGCGGGGGGGGGGGGGGGGGGGGGGTGCTCTGAGAAGTGTGACCAGGTATCTCTTACTTGCTTCACAGTGAGGTTGTTTATCCCCCACATGGTAGTATATGTCTCCCAGACAGGTGATCACCTTATCACCTCCGTTAAAATACCCCGCCTCACACCCGACATCCACCTCATCCTGGAACTCTGATGGAAGCTGACTGGGAGACGCAACAGTTGAGTGATCCCAACGATCACTGACATCTTCGCAATCTGTGATTGGGTACATGAAAACGTTTATAAATCTTTAAAATTTGTATATTATTATACTTTTCAAGTTTAACGAGCTCTAAACATTTTTCCTTTCAGATTATTATAACATCAATAAAGGTAGAACAAGAAGCAGATATTGATTATTTAAAGCTAGTTAGATGATTTTTAAATCGTTACGTTTTTGATTTAAAGGATTCTGTGAAATGTCGTATGCTGTAAAAATTAAATTAAAAGCTCACCTGGAAGAACAGACTCTTTTAAATTGGGTGCGTTTGTGGAGATGAACGTCACACCACCGTCAGTTAATCTTTCTTTGCAGTCACTAATTGACTGTACATATTTTGGAAGATCACTGTCACTTCCTTCTTCGGTGTCAAAGTAAAACACAAAATCTTGAGTCAATTCTGCAAAAATCAGTATCTGTTCTTCCCCTTCTGTGACAAACACGTCATCGTTACAAAAGCTTGTGAGCTTGATTTTGTCATAAAACCATTCAACTTCAACAAGCACCTCTTCATTTGAATCTTGGTCGAGTTGAGAAAAAGAAACTATCCCAAACAAACCCTCGTTCGATTCAGGGTTATCCATGCTTAGCTGTAATGCACCCTCTTCCTTATCATAATAAATGTACTTCGAGAATGGTACTGCAATGAGAAGTTTACAAAATAACTAAATCATGAAATTATAGTATATTACGTAAAAATTTCAACATAAGATATGTCGTTAATCATAGCTCAACACATTACAAATTATAAAATTAAAGTGAAAATATTCAAACAACAACGCATGGAAAGTTCAAAAAGTCTTACTGATTTCGCATTGAGCACCATATTCGCTCCAGAGTCCAGAGCCAAGACAACTAACTACGGAGCCTCCGCTCAGACTCAGAGCATACCCCTCATCACACATGATGACAGCTCGGGTCAGGTTTTGAACTTCAACGTAACCGTTTGCGGGTGCCAATACTCCCCCACAATCTGGTTAATGTATGAAATAATCGAAGCCAAAGAGTTAACTTTTGTGCGATCAGATTGATAGTACCGCTATTCACTAAACTTTCATCTTATTCCTTCAATAAAAAAGATGTTAGAAAAGGATAAAAGTTAAAACTGCAGCAACATACAGAGTTTACTTACTAGGGGCACACCAAGGCGTTTCCTCCCAAATCTCTGATTCAAGACATCTAATCATTTCGTTCCCAACAAGGTAAAAATCGTCATTGCAGACGAACCTTGCGTTAGTGAGGTTATCAAAGTCTTTGAAGCCGTTTAGGATATCCTCAGGCTCGCCGCAATCTGATAATCACAATTTTTAGTCACACTCACCACATTCAAATTTGTGTATAGTTTTGATATTTACAGCCTCAGATTTGTAATTTTATTTGTTTACTTATTAACTCTGAAGCTACCTAAGGAATCATGGAATTCTATCTTTAATGTAATCCCACAGCATGTAAAAACCTCACCAGTAATACAGAGAGGACTTTCCTGCCACTCTCCAGTGTCAAGACACTCCAGGTCCGTGCTCCCAATGTTTATAAAACCCCAGTTACATTCGACCACTGCGTTGGTCATGTTCATGAACTGCACGAAACCGTCAGCTGGTGCTGGACAGTCTCCGCAATCTGCGGCAAGATGTCTAGATCAGCTGTGCTATCTAGATGTGGAGAATATATTTGCATTTATTTTACGAAAAATCGATTAATCAAAGGTTTTCAAACCAAGAATTGACTTCATTGGCAGAATACAAAACTCAATTGAAATCTTTTCTTAAAAAGTTGTGCTTCCAACAATCTTACCAATGATACACTCAGGGTGTTGCTCCCATTGTCCAGTTTCCAGGCACGTGATTACTGAGCTTCCAAGTCGAGTGAATCCATCGTCACATTTAAAAGTGGCGATGGTGAAATTGTCTGATTCCACCATCCCGTTCTGGGGCGTTTGAACTTCTCCGCAATCTTATCAAATAGAAACAAAGTTATCGCCAAGCATTGGATTAGCTGAATATTGAGTTATTAATTCTACATATTATTATATTCCATAATAATAGTTAAAATTTTGGCATAAGGGGCAAATTAAAGTATTACGTTATATGCTATGAAATAATTAAAATATGTATGTTCATATCTTACAAATCGTGCACTTCGGACTGTCTTCCCAATTTCTGGACTCAAGGCAACTCACTACTGAGTTTCCAAGAAGACGATAACCCTCGATACATTGAAAGGTAATGTGAGTGTAGTTTTCTGATTCCACGATTCCGTTTAGAGGTGTTTGGGGATCTCCACAGTCTGGAAAGTTGGGTGAAATTAGATTTCAGAAAGTAAGTGAAATTTGACCGGACATTGCGTGAACCGACATAATTTTGAATGGATATTAAAATGAACGTTCGAAGGTTTTTATCTAATTTTATCTAATTTAACTACTTTGTCGGATTTTATTTGAACGGACATTAAAATGAACGCTAAGGCCTCCAGCGTCCAATTAATGTCCGTTCAAATAAATTTCGATAAGGTAATCACAATTTACAACTAGAAATAGTGTTTTGTAACCTAAATAGCAGATGGAACCAGTTTTCCACGATCCAGACTCCTGGCATGTAAGCGTCGACTCCCCGAATAAGCCGAAGCCTATGTTGCATTTGATTGTGACAAGTTCAAAGCTTTGAAATTCTATCACGCCGTTCGAGGGTGCTTCAGCTTCTCCACAATCTGATGGAATAAAATAATTGATTTATGAATAAATTGTGAACATCTTATACATTCATAATAATATGATAATTTTAAATCTAATATGCATGTGGCAGAAATTGTCAACACAAACGAATGCCGTGCAGAAGCTCATTGATACGTATAATACAATGTACAGTATAAATTATACATCACTATCAATTCCAATTTCCAATCAGACTAGTAGATTACAGACTTCTCTTAATAACTGTTCATCTTACCAACATGGCACTTCGGGCCATCCTCCCATTGTCCATATTCCTGGCAAGTAACCAGCGAACTCCCAATTAGATGGTAACTCTCATCGCAGGAGAAAGTAGCATGGGTGAAATTTTCTAATTCCAAAATGCCATTATCAGGTGCCTGAGGTACCCCGCAATCTGAGATATGAACAAATATAGGAACAAAGATAGGAACAGAGTGCTTAATTATATGAATCAATAGATAAAGCTCACGTTCAAGTTGATCGTCATAAGAATAAAAGTTGGCTATTCTTACCAATTGTACACTCAGGGCTATTTTCCCAAACTCTGGATTCAAGACAGCTCACAACTGATCTCCCCAGAAGAACGAAGCCCTCGTTACAATTGAAAGTAGTTTGTGTAACGTTTGTTGACTCCACGACCCCATTCTCAGGTACTTGAACCTCTCCACAATCTTCGGGAGAAAAGACAACATTAAAATTTAGCAGGTATGATTTCTCTTAGACTTAGAGCGAACAGTATAATACGATCACGTAAGGTGAAAGTTTTCATTACGGGGGAAATATAAGCTTTCTGTTTAAAATTTGTTCCTAAATTATCTGACTTATCCACCATCGAAAAAGTATCAATTATCCACAGTTGAACATCCATTACCAGGGGTACAAATAGGACTGTCCTCCCAGCTTTCTGACTCCTGGCATGTCAATAAGGATTTTCCAAGAAGGATGTAACCCTCGTTACATTGAAATTCAACGTGGGTGTAATTCTGTGATTTCAAGATTCCGTTTAGTGGCGTCACGGGATCTTCACACTCTGAGGAAATGGAATGATAGAGTATTCACTATTCATACCCCACTCGTATTCACAATAAAAATTACCCACGTCGAAGTGGATTTTATCTTCTTACAATCTAACGAAAAAAAAAGATAAAAACAATGCACGAAAATAAAGGTTGATTAGACGGCGTCTTACCAAGTGAAGTGATAACCACTTCAAACATTTTTACAATTCCATTGTCTTCCAAATTCGGATTACTAATCCTGATTCTGTCTCCTACTCCATCACAGGAAAATCTAAAATAAAGCATTAAATTAATAAAACACACTTGAAACGTTTTTCAAAACAAAACTATTTTTTAAATAAACATCTCAAACCAAAAATACAGTCCATTTAAACATACATGAGTACAAACACAAACATCAGCTTACTTAAATATCTGCTCTTCTTGCGTTAATCCTTTATTTTCAGTGATGCTTCCACAGGATTTAACTAAATCGTCTTCCAGATAAAGATCTACTGTAGTCCCAACCTCTGTTTCCTTGCATAGCTGAAACGCCTCTTCGCTTAACACACACGCCTCATTGTTATCATACCTGATGTTTGTTATAAGGGTCAAGGATTTTAAGATTTGAAGGTTAAATCAGTGATAAGGTACCACTTTTTTCAGATTGAAGTAATCCTCGTTACCTCCAGCGAAGCAGCAAAGGATCCGTATCTTTACCGTGGTTATATTTAAGATATCATACAGACTCACCAGTTGTCATAAAAGACAGTGTATAAGCTAGCGTTGTTTACATAAGTTATTTCATCGAATTGAAAGTCAACCCAAGCCTCTTCAAGTCCATCTGCTGATTGTGCTCCTGGAGGATGGTCATTAGTTTGAAAAGCTGACAGGTAAATAATTATGTTGGTCTACACGGAGATTACAATTGTACGATATTTTGCGTGTTATTGTTTGCCAAAAAAGAGGACATTGTAAACGGTGCCAGACAAGTAAGATACATTTATTCCTTCAATATCCAGAAAAAGAAACCAACTCTTGAACTGACCAGTGCAAGTCGTCAGATCCAAGTCTGCTGCCTGAGTTCCCTCAGCATTGTTACATTCAGGCAAAGCACCGCTCAGTGATATATCTATATCAGTAAACTGGTGGTCTTCCACTGGCTCTGAGGTGACGTTATTCATTTGATTTTAACTGTCATTTACTTTCACTTTCACTTTCACTTTCACAAGACTTTCACTTTCATTAGTGATAATCAATGCAGAAAACCTGTCTAGAGCTGAAAGCCTTCATGATCATCTTTAAAAATGATAACAAGCATAATATGTAGGATGAGGAAACAATTTTACTCACGTGCAAGACATAGAGGTCCATTATTTTGAACGATATAGAAGCTGTCTCCCAGACAGGTGATCACCTTATCACCTCCATTGAAATACCCCGCCTCACACCCGACATCCACCTCACTCATAGACTGTGCTGGGAGCTGACTGGGGACAGCAGCAATCGAGAGATCCCAACGGTCATCAACGCGAATAACCTCACAATCTAGGATTTATTAAGGTTTATATTTTATCACTACACTCTGTTTCGTTGCATGTATAAAGAGTGAACACGTCCCGAGCGTAATTTATCTGTCCAATGTGAATTAAAGAATTTAAAAATCGTACCTGACACAGTAGTTGGACCAAATGAAGGAATGGTCGAGAGAAAAACTAATTCATATTCCCTCTCTTCCTCTCGACACTCACTATAATCCAATACAAATTTACGGGGACTATCCGCATCATTTTGATCTTCTACGAGAGAGTAAAAGTATAACATGAAGTGGTGCTCCAATTCTGTGACGACCATAACTTGATCCTCTGCCTCGCACACTATTGACATTGTGTTGTCGTTACATAAGCTTTCAACTGTTACTCTGTCTTGAAACCAGCTTATCCGAAGAAGGTGTTTGAAATGTTTCCCCTGTACATGTTGAGCAAGGGTGGTGGTTCCAAGGAGATCGAGTCCCTCTTGCACAACTGTCTCCCCGATGGAGTAGGGTCCTACGACAACATCAACGTAATCTGGTAGAAGTATTGGTTAGAAACTAATATTTTAGAATTATTTTTATACAAGTACGTAAGAATGAATTTCGCACAACCTATCGGCTCTATTTTGGCGGTAAAGTATTCGTTTTGAACTTTAAAAGAAACATTCAAGGTTGGAAAGACAAAAGCTAAGAGGTTTAGGTTATTTTCTGACCTTTGACTTTTTTTTGTCCTAAATTTATATTAAAAATTAAAAAATGAAAAGTTGCCATACAACCATTCAAAGGTTGGAAAGACAAAAGCTAAGAGTTTTATATATAGGTTATGTGGTTCTTTTGCGATAGTCAAAACGCGACAACTAGCGCTGGATGGCGACAACTAGCGCTATCCAGCGCTAGTTGTCGCCATCCAGCGCTAGTTGTCGCTATCCAGCGCTGGATAACGCTGGCCAGCGCAAAATATATATGTTCGATAATTGTCGCTATCCAGCGCTAGTTGTCGCCATCCAGCGCTAGTTGTCGCCATCCAGCGCTAGTTGTCGCTATCCAGCGCTAGTTGTCGCTGGCTATGCGACACTGTCGCACGCGATAGTTTGCGATGGCCAGCGCAACTGGCCATCGCAGAAAACAGTTCGATAACTAGCGCTGGATAGCGACAACTAGCGCTGGATAGCGACAACTAGCGCTGGCCAGCGCTGGCCAGCGCTAAGCGATAGCCAGCGCTGGCCAGCGCTGGCCATCGATATCCAGCGCACAATTTTTGCGCTATTACTCGTCAGCTAGCGCTGGCCAGCGCTAGCCAGCGCTAACCAGCGCTAGCCAGCGCTAACCAGCGCTAACCAGCGCTGGCCAGCGCTAACCAGCGCTAACCAGCGCTAGCCAGCGCTGGCCAGCGCTAGCCAGCGCAATGTATCAAAATCATATACTTGTGATATTACTCGGATGATGATTAATCACTTTACACTCGACTGTAACGTGACTTTTTTAACCCATTCTCTGACTCTAGCTGGTTCTGAACGACTTTTCGAAACCCTAACCCTCTAATCTGATCCCAACCCTAACCCTAACCCAATCCTTAACAAAAACATTATATGCTGAAACCCTAACCCCGACGAGAAATTAGACTAACTTCCTTATAAGGCATCATGTAGCCTCCAGGCTCGACAAACCCCGACAAACCCCGACAAACTCCGACAAACGGGGTTTGTCGGGGTTTGTCGAGGGGTTTTGCCTCGGGCCCACCGGCTACATGAGGCCTTCTTGTATAGTGTTTTTCCACGTAAAGCTTGATGACTCCGTCTCGGCTTTTTGTTGGGAGACTCAAAAAAAAAGAAAAAAAAAAAAAAAAAAGCCTCCAGGCTCGACAAACCGGAAACCCCGTCAAACCCCATCAAACCCTGACAAACCCCGACAAACCCCGACAAACCCCGACAAACCCTGACAAATCCCGACAAACCCCGACGTGTCAAGATATGTCGTATCATGTTGGGCCCACCGGCTACATGATGCCTCTTATACGGTCATATCACGTGATCGATACAGTTTTTCGCCAATATCTCGTCAGGAGAGCATTTTAACCCTATGTCATGGGGGTTGATTCGGAATTAGCGTCCGAAAATACATTGCATTGATTCAAGTTGGTTACAACCATCGGGGGCCCTTTTAGAACAATCTCGAAGATCGACTGTAGAGTGATTTAGCACGCTCGATATTAGTATTACTCGTCAGCCAGCGCTGGCCATGAGCGCAATATAAATGCGATATTATTCGTCAGCTAGCGCTGGCTAGCGCTGGCTAGCGCTGGCTAGCGCTGGTTAGCGCTGGTTAGCGCTGGCTAGCGCTGGTTAGCGCTGGCTAGCGCTGGCCAGCGCTAGCTGACGAGTAATAGCGCAAAAATTGTGCGCTGGATATCGATGGCCAGCGCTGGCTATCGCTTAGCGCTGGCCAGCGCTGGCCAGCGCTAGTTGTCGCTATCCAGCGCTAGTTGTCGCTATCCAGCGCTAGTTATCGAACTGTTTTCTGCGATGGCCAGTTGCGCTGGCCATCGCAAACTATCGCGTGCGACAGTGTCGCATAGCCAGCGACAACTAGCGCTGGATAGCGACAACTAGCGCTGGATGGCGACAACTAGCGCTGGATGGCGACAACTAGCGCTGGATAGCGACAATTATCGAACATATATATTTTGCGCTGGCCAGCGTTATCCAGCGCTGGATAGCGACAACTAGCGCTGGATGGCGACAACTAGCGCTGGATAGCGCTAGTTGTCGCCATCCAGCGCTAGTTGTCGCGTTTTGACTATCGCAAAAGAACCGGTTATTTTCTGACCTTTGAATTTTTTCCGTACTAAATTTGATCTTAAAAAACAGTTGGGCCATACTCATAAACCATTCAAACACGTACCCAATTCACAGTCACTCTCTTCAGAAGCGAACCCTGCCGGAGCAGTAAACCCCTCAGGGCATGAAGTACACTCAAGGGTGAGGAAACCACCCGCACTGTAAGTGTTCTCCAGACACAGCACACAAGTGTTGGTTTCTGCTACAAGGTGCTGACCGCCAGGGCAGTCTTGTGCTAGGGGAGGATATAGAATTAGATATTTTTTATCTAAAAACAGCAATTAATTATGAACATTAAATTAATATACTGGTCCTAAAATGAACTGTCAGTTATCCCGCGAAGGTCATTATTTTTCACGGCAGGACTGCGTTAGAGGTGATCAAATAAAGAAAAAACGAGGATCAACGTCCTTACAGTTATGGTCCGTTACAATAAATTGCATCATAACTATAAGCATAACAATACCCAAAAAATGTGCAAAATTGTGTACAATACCTTGTGTATACGCAACCACTTCATATAGCTTGATCCAACCTGTTGGTTAACAAAATTAAATAGTAAACTTTGTAATATTAGTGTCGAGGTAATAATTATTATTATATTCTAAACTTTTAAGCCTGGCGAGTTGCTAACCAGTTATATTATAGTTTGTGATAAGTTTACTGAATTATTATTATTAACTAAAGACATTGTGTTAGTCATGATAATCTACAGTTTGTATTATTTTCAATTGTATTTATTTTTCGATCAGGAATTACCTTCGCCAGACGTTGATTTGCTGAAGAGGACTGCATTTCCTTCATATCCACAACTGATTTGGTATTCTTGACTGGTTTGAGTTAGTCCGTCAGTTAGTTCAATAGTACCACAGTTGTTGATCAAGGTATCGTCTGAGTAAACGTCCACTTGAATATCCGTCCCTTTGTTTTTGCACTCCTGTTATTCATATCGTTTATTCAGTGTTACCAAGAAGTTGTCGTTCGGCAAATTTGTTTGATATGAATTCTATATTTCCTCGTTCAGCTTTGACAGGCAATTATTGCGGCAATATAATGAGATATAATAAGATTCCAGTAAAATTCAAGAATCGTCCTACTCCTAGGCAATTCATTTAATAAGATGAACGGATAACCAATAACCATAATAATATGTCTACGATAATAAACTGACCTGATAATTTTCCTGGCTCACACGACAATAATCTTCCGGGTCTTGACAATAGAACCAGTCTGAGTAGAACTCTTGAAAAACTTGCACCGCGTACAGAAAAACGTTTTTATCCTGGGAAAACTCCACTTTGAACCAAATGTCACTATCGGAGGCGGAGGCTAGGGAGTAAGTAGACAGATCATTGTCTGTAGCATACGACGCCTTTTGGGATAGTGTGGTTATACTTTGTGATACAGATTCTGGCTGTAGTTTCTCTGGTTCTTCTCCGATTCCATATGGCTCTGAAAATGTATTTGATGATGGGCAATAAGAAGTCAAAATTTAAAGATTGTGATTTGTGACAGCCAAAATTCCCGCACACGTATCTTAGGACATGGCTGTGGCTTAGAATGCGGTATTAACATCAAAATTGATCTATAGGTATTATAGGATTGTAAACTGAAGGTTTTGAGAGAAAGTTATCACCAACCCCAATGACTGGTTGAGACCTCAACCCTATCCTCAGTACAACTCGTGGAAGAGCACCCGTGACTGTACAGCCCAGAATCACATTGAAGACATATGTTGTTCGGTTCTTTTAAGAAGTGGTTAGCTTTGCACAGTTCAGCTGATGGGGGTAAATTGGTTTGGGTGGCCAAATATTTGTAAAACTGCGTTACGAAGACAGAAGTGAGACTTTATGGGAAAATAAATATTAAATACCAATAACAATAAATTCTAATATTTATACCACGCTTCGACATCAAAAAACATACCCCAAAAGATATATTCAAGCGTGACCTGGTATGGAAAAAGGTCATTAAATTATGCACCCTGGCCCTATAAATGTAATTCTAACTACTCAGGTAGCTTCCAGCTTAACGAATAAGTTCCTTGGAGACACAACACACTATGTTACACATTCAACATAATATATATTATATTATACTATATTATACAATATCACAATTTTTAACCGTTAAATAAAACAGCGCACATTATTAAATAATTACTAATTTGGACTAATTAAATAATTAAAAGTAATCAAATGAATAAATAAATAATTAATTGCTAATTAAATTTACCTGTGCCCCTCAGAACTACGATTTCGGAAATCCGAAATAAAGACAGAGAGAAGAACCCTATGTACTGACCGACAACATTGCATTCGAAATTGTAAATCTGACCGTTTTGAGTCAAATCGTGTGTTGGGTTCATCTCAAACCGATCGGAAGTTTCAAAACCCACTGATATAGAGATTGATTCTTCGTCTTTGCAGCTCTGAGAAAGGAACTGATAATCGAGATATGAAACGGTTAGGCGGTGCTTGCAGATTATTAGTAATTTATTACCAGTTACGTTATCTATAAGTGTAGGTCGTAGGATAAACACGAAACTGTCCAGTCATCTCATCAAGTTTAAACTCACGTTAAATTGATCGCTATAATTAGTAATTGCTTTAATTAGAAATTGCTATAATTAGTAATTAATTAGTAATAACCTCATAATTTGATATGCTGTGGAGACAGGGCTGTGTAGGACAAAAAAACCAATCACTGAAGAACATTGTGTGAATAGTGAAGCCCCCTATTTTCCAATTTTCTCCCAGATCCAACTGTATCCAGTCGGTTACACCAACCAAATCGGTCACCGTCGATAAGTCTTTGTCCGACAGAAACAAAAGAGATTCTTCGATCTCCTCGATTGTCGTTTTTTCCAGGGCACCCTCAAGTATACTCACAGCAGTGGCTTCATAGTCGATGGTGTATTCAGCTGTTGGCTCTTTAGAAAAATTGAAAATAAACGGATAGTGATCATAATAATTTGAAGTTTAATAACACTACTTTTGTGTTATATATTAAATTAGTGTTAAATCTCAGGACTGTGCTTGAATATAAGGTAAGGACTTGAAAAGATATGGGAAGATCTAAACAATACATCCTCCTCGCAATTACACGCAGAAGAGTCTCTGTTAGATTCTGGAACAATATGGGCAGGTGAGGCATATTTGTTTTACACGTGCCAATAATAAACCAATCAGCATGCCACTATTAACCAATCAAACCCCAGAATCACTGTCACGTGTCAAAACAATACGCCTCACCTCCCCACAACTATTATTGGGAGAAGCTCACCCCACATGCTGGAAGACAGTGTAGTCCTGTCAGAGGAGCAGGTCCCAGTTTGACAACCGTAACTCAGCTCGCCCTCAGGGCAGCTGTGACACGTGTTGCTACTCTCCTCGAAAAACTGGTCAGTCGTGCAGTTCTGTTCTGAGGCGGAGGATATCAGACGTTCTCGATGTTAGTGGTGACATTTTCTGTATTTTACTGATGTACATATTATTATTAATGGCAAAGAACGAAATTTAAATTTTTTTAAAAATAGGGTTATAAAAATAATAATTATTGACAGGACTTATCCTTTTTTAATGACCTGATAAACTTACCTCCTGATTCCACAACGACCTCACATATTCTCAGAGCAGAAGTTCCTGCAGACAGGATGATTGAATCACCCCTCCCGTTACATGTTACAGTGTAGATCTGATCGGCTTGGAGAGTATCGGCAGCTGATATAGCTAGAACCCCACACTCCTTCACCTCAGTTTCTCCGTCGTACAAAGTAATCACAGAATTTATCTCCGCTTCCTTGCAGTTCTGGGATATGGAGAAATTAATTTCATACTTACGGTTGTAATCAGTAGTAAATGACTAGACAGTGTACGGTAAAAAATGTTGATGGACAGATCTGAATTTTTCCAAAGTAACGGGCTAAATTGGTTGTCGTGTCAAGGCTGAAGGCAATAGGCATGTTCCTTTAATTCAATTCCTTATATAATACCAAAGGAATATTAAATAATAATAGTGATATTTTGAGTATGAAGTGGAAAGCTACAACAGTTTATACCTCGTAGTCTCCATTATTCGTGTGACACCCGTACCGTCTAGGAGGATAGAAGAACCAGTCATCCTCAAAAACAGTGTAAACGGTTACATTTTTCACCATATAAAGATCTCCAAGGTTCACTTTCAACCACAGAGAAGGCCCTCCGTACAATTCAGTGCTTGTTAAGGCAACACAAGTGTATAAGTGACGATCAAACGCGTTGGCAGGGGGGAACTGAGTATAATTGTCAGGGATCTCGGGATTCCAGGAAAGTGTGACGTCACCGTTCACCTCATCGTCAGCGACAGAAGTGAGATCTGGGGAGAAAATTGATATATCTTAATTAACAGAAGAATTAACATGGAAAATAGATTCGACCAAATTATTTGCGACAGCTGCAACATGAATGATTACCTGGGGACCTCAGGCTATTATATTTATGTTCATAGAGATTTTGTAGGTTTATAACCTACCAGGACGCGCGCCGAGTTGGACTCGTCGACGGTTGGAGTCGTCGACGGTCCAATATATGGAACAGATATTTTACGAGTATCACCCGTTAATAGAGATTCGGCGGAATGACAGGCTGAGCGCGGCCCAGTAACATGAATGAGTGGAAATATGTATTATCCATAAATCGCAGAACATTTCGACTGAACATATTGATCGATCAGTTTCAATATAATTTTACCCCAGGTAGCGAAGTCAGAGGAGCACATATAAATGTGTTCGGCAAGGTTGGTATCAGGATCACATTCCCATTCCCCGTGCTGGCACGAGTAGGGGAGGCTGTTGTAACGGTCAGGACAAGGCAGGCACACGTGACCAGGGAAGGTGAGATAGTTTCTGTCGGGGCATTCTTGGGCTAAACGGTGACACGGTTAGTGTTTTGTAGGAACTCACTTTAAAGTTGAAGTTAGGAGAGTATGAAAAGTATTTCATTCGATTGCCCCAATGTTAACCATTGGGGCGATGGGTTTGACTGGTCAGATCAATCCATAGATCATAAAATATTTCTAAAAATAAAGGAAATTGAACTCTATCTCCAAGGATCAGGCGCTGGATAACTTTTTCCCGTCCAGCTCGAAGGAGGTCTTTCTCGACATGTGCACTTACGATAATTGCTGATCTGTAACTCGCATATACGGACGTTTCCTGGGGTTTCTCGTAGAACTACCAACATATCTCCAACAGATCTGCATGACACCTTGTAGATCTGGTCTTCCTGAGAGAAACAAAATGTTTACATTTTAACTAACGCCCGATTCCTTGTTTTGATATTTTTCAATGCTAAACGACTGGAAAATAATTTGAGACTTTTAACCTGCGAGAGTCCTTGGTTTGTATTAATTTCACCGCAGAAATATTCATCATAGACTGAACAATCGGAGTCTGAACAGTTTCTCATGACCACCTTCAAAGGGCCGTCATTTTCTTTGCAAGCCTGAAATACAATGATATTTATAAAATTCAAAAGTTTAGACTTCCGCTCTCACCCTCCCACTCCTCCATCTACCCCTCTTCCTCCTCCACATCCCACCCTCCTTCCCCACTTTTTTTCCCACTTACATAATAGTGATCAGCGGTGAGATGACAATTGTCGTAATCGTAATTTCCCCCGTCAAGCCACTGCTCTCTTAGACCACTTGATATGAAGAACATCATGTGAACCTTAACCTCGTCCACAAAATACGGCTTTTCAAAGGCCATGCTGAAGAAAGCGAGGTCATCAGCACCACTTGACTTTGACCAAAAGCAGGTGTAAATGTTGCCGTCAGTTGCAAGATCTGCGCCGTACGTTACGTAGCCCTCTGGTAGACGGAATTGCTCGGGTTCACTCATGTTGTATACTTGTAATTCAGTCATGTCGATTTTCGATTCCGTAACATCAAAGGGCTCCAACATAGGGGGTTCTGTTGGATAATGTAGTTACACTCACAGTATGTCATCTGCAAAGTTGCAAGTCTCCAACATGAAAAATGACTTTGTTATAAGCCCATTCGTTTGCACACTGACTTATGGGCATCTCTGTATAAAAGTGGTATGATAGCAATGACATAAAAAAAGCCCTTACCTTTGTACAAAATAGAAGTCACCTTGATAACGTGACTGTGCTCATGTTTCATTTTTACTGTTATGTTCACCTCTATCTGAGAAAATTTCGTTACGATCTCTAATAAGTGTTCTGTCAAAGGGAATTTGTTGTCTACTGTACTAATGGATCATAAACTACACGGGGATAGAATGGTATCCAAACTTGATTAAAAGCATCCATTTGCATTAATGGACATTTTGTTGTGATAACGTGTCAGAAATAAAAATTTTCCTATTGAATTGATGAGATTTGAAATGGAAAAAAATGTTCATCCAAACTTGTCGTTCTGTCACGTTGTGAATAAACAGTGATACATAGCCGGAGTCACTATTTGAGGGGTCCAGGTACTTCATCTCGAAACTGGGATCATTTGTTTCTACAGGAATGCCATCAATTCTCCAGATTCTATTTTTTGCTTTTCTTTTTGGAAGTAAGCATTTTATTTCCAGTTCCTTATAAAGTTCTCCTGTTATCGCATCGGGGCATTGCAGGCCTGTTAAAGGTTATATATTATATATATTTAAGCAGGGTACATCGTTCTTTACATCGGAAAATACATGTTTTTGCGATTTGGTGGGGACAAATAAAGAATCTTAAAATATATATCCCTGTTATTCATTTAAAGTAATAAATCATTGGCGAAAATTTGGAGGGAATTAATCGTTCATATTTTGTTTCCCGACCAAAATTACCTGGAGACCCGGCCAGCCGCCAGGCTAAATGTTTAAAAGTGCTCAGCTTTTTAGCCGTTTAATATTTTTACCGACCATGCAGTCTGATAAATTGAGACAGCACTAAGCTGTAGACAAGAAGGTTATACTTAAAAAACGTCGAATGTTTTTCAAGGAGAAGATGTTGGTCATTCAAACATTTCAGCCAATTTTTATGCACGCCTATATTTTAATATTTACATATTTTAAAATTGCATATATGGTGATTGGTTAGAGAGGTCAAGGGGCCTTCAGGAGAATTCTTTTGAAATTTTCATGAATATTTAAGACCACCCCCTCCCGTCCCCCTTAAGGAAACCCCTCTCTCTCACTCACCAGACAAACAGGCCCAGTTGGCAGTATAGGAGAATATGTTGTCCTCAGCCGTCACATTGGGGCCGTGAAGTGTACATTTGAGAGTAATAACATCCAGCGTAAAAAAGAAGCAGTTACCGCTGCAATATAAGAGTTTTGATAACATTGAAAAACATCACAACAGACAGTGCGCGGCGTTTATGACGACATGGCCCAGTTTGGGTCTCACTCTGATAAAACTTACTTGTACTCCATGCATCTTTTGTTGCAAATACTGGGATTCCGGTAGGCGTATCGAAAGTCGATGGCTTCTTGAGTAACAGAACCCTTTCTCAATTCCTCCAGTTCATCTCCGCGATAACTTATTTCACGTTTGTAACAAACTTCATCTGGAGGGATATTTTAATGAGTAAATTTTGGGCTGTAAACACTACGCGATCTGTATTCTGTTATTGTTAAATACGTAGCATTTTCAGCAAACGTATAACTGTCTATCCATTGTCCTATCTATTGTCAATATAAATGATCCTTGACTTTCACGACAATATCAACAAAATGATTCTTAAAATGCTTAAAATACTGACAGATTTGTGTCAGTAACTATAAGTTATAACACGCGGCTGCGGGCTGGATTACTTACCAATGCTATCTTGAAACAGGCAACCCATTCGGGCTGACACTAAGGAATATGAACGTGATGTTTCGTTGTTTGACAAGACTGTCCCGAAGACTTTATCGTGTATCCAACAATCATTGCTTTTCCAGTAGTAAGTGAAGCCAATCCGTTTTTTTGAATTTTTACATGTGTCATAACAAGCTACTAAACTTGTGGTCTTCACAACATTATGTTTTTTGGCGTTCAATTCAACTGAAGGCGGGATAAAATACTCCAAACAGTGCTGCAACGTGTCTGAACGAAAGGAGAGGTTAAATAACAGATAACAGCATTTCATAGATGTTCATTTTTAAATGATTTTATCGATGTTAATAAAGCCACAGAAGACAAGTCCACGTGATCTGGATTGACCTTATGAATGCGTATGGGAGAGTCCCGCACAGCCTTATTATTTATGCCCTACGCCGGTACCACCTACCTGAAAGCTTCATTAAGCTTATAATTGAGTATTATGGAAGCCTCAGTGTCCTAGTTAAGTGCAGAAAATGGACATCCAGAACATTCTGGTATGAGCTAGGCCTGTTCCAGGGAGACCCACTGTCCGTGATCCTGTTCCTTATAGTATTCAACATCCTACTGGAACTTCTAGCTGTACTGTGCAGTCAAGTTGGGTATGAGCCAAGCTTCAGTGATAGCAAGACCTCAAAGAAAGCATTTGCTGATGACCTAGCCCTATTGTCGAAGAGCGAGAAGGAGATGAAGAAGATGTTGAAGGTAGTAGAAGAGTTCCTGGACTGGTCGAAGAAAATGAAGGCTAAACCATCGAAGTGCCTGTCTATGTCTATGAAGTGTACTGGAGGAAAGTACAATACCTATGATGCAGAGTTTGTACTAAGCGAACAACAGGTGCCGTCCATTATCCAAGCACCAATGAAGTTCCTAGGAATGTACATGTATGTAGATCTTGAGGTGAAGGAAATTCGGTCCATGATTAAGAAGAAGTTAGAGGACCTTTTGGAAACAACGTCTAATGATGAAATCACCGGTCCAATGAAGGCGTGGGTGTATAACCACCTCATCATTAGTAAGATGTCATGGGGGTTTACTGTTTATAACCTACCCATCACATTTGTGAGAGAGCTTGAGGCACTGTGTAACAGATACCTTAAGAAGTGGCTAGGGATTGCGCATCCTTGTACCACCACCGTCCTCTACAGGAGTAGAGACCAGAAAGGATTGCAGCTGAAAAACATCTGCACTGAGTACAAAGTCATCCAACTTATTAAGGGACACCAACTTTGTAACTCAAGTGACCCCTACATCAAAAAAGTGTACTCTAACCATAAGGCTATTGCACACACACAGAAGATGTGGTCTTATCCCAAAGAGCTGAAAGACCGTCAGCGCCAACTTTACTTCCAAGAGTTAGTTGGAAAACCTGCAGTTGGTACAACTGGCCTCGGGTATGAGACAAGATATGAGGACACATCAGAGAGGAAACTGCTAACCAACATGGTGAGGACCTTTGATGAAGAGACACTTATTTGTTCACTTTTTGACAAAAAGCGGCAAAACCTCTTTCTCACATGGGAAAATACAATGACATTTGACACCACGTGGAATAACCTGATCTATCAACTTAGTCCGGAACTGTTAAAGTTTCATGTCAATGCTATCCATGACACTGCGTCAACACCTAGCAACCTAAAGCTTTGGAATAAAGCCGTTTCAGGAAACTGTAAACTCTGCAGCAAACAAGGGACACTCAATCATATCCTCACGTTCTGCAAGGTTGCACTGAGACAGGGACGTTTCAACTGGCGCCATGATCAGGTCCTACGTGAAATCATGAAGACTGTTTCATCACAGATTGAAGAGTTTAATTCCGACATCGCCAAGGAATCGAAGAGGGCACCGTCGGTCTTTCACAAGGCAGGCAATAAGCGCGAGAAGGTTACCTTAGCTGACCCAACTCATCATAAGACCAAAAGATATTTCTTTTCAGATGCCAACGACTGGAAGATAATATTTGATGAGGATGAGAGACAGAGGAACTTCCCGCAGCACATTGCAGCTACACCACTAAGACCTGATGTAGTGATCTATTCAGATAAAGCAAAGAAGGTTTATCTAATGGAGCTGACTTGTGGAAATGAGCAGAACTTTGCTGATCAAGAGAAGCGAAAGATGAAGAGATATCAGCAGCTGACAGAAGAGATAGAAGCCAACGGATGGGCTTGCAAGCTCCAGACAGTAGAAGTGGGAGCTCGAGGCATTTACAACTATAGCCTCCCAACCTTTATGAACCACCTGAACGTAAACAACAAAGAGAAGAAGAAGGCCTGCATGAAGATCGCTGAGATCAGCCTGAGGGCATCGTATACCATCTATTTGTCCAGAAACAATACCATATGGACAGATGATTGGGAGTTAGTCAAGAGACCAGTAATAGCATAGTAGGAGCGTAGAATGTTTGGGCCCAGAAAAACATGTTTAATACCGCTATGAACCCGTCATAAGCCGGGGACTACTATGAAAATGATGATGCTGTGTTGTTGAAAGACCTTCGACCAATCAAAGATGTACCTCATCACGCCAAGCAGTTATGCTTGTAGGTGAATATACACTTATAGAGTACAACAACTTTATAACACTCCTTATGCAGCTTAAGAACCCGACAGCTTAGAAGGATTTTAAACTTTAAGACTTTAAATTTAAGTCTCCTTTGAAAATTGGCGTATACAATACATCCCAAATTGACGCTCTTTTCCTGACTATAAATTGAACCAACCTCTGTAACTCCAATATTGACATGTCGTGTTGTAAGTCCAACTTGGAAGATGACTAACCAGTGCGTTTTTCTCGTCAATAAAGTAATCCGTAGTAAACCCGGTCCAACCAGGCCACACATTGCACGTGACATTGTCCATCACTGTATTATCGCACGTGACGAATAAGCACGTGGAGTTGTGATAGCACTCGCGGATCAGATTAAGCGGTTTTTTAACTTCTGTGAACACGAGGGCCTCAATCGGCTGCAACTTCATTTCCGGAGTAGGTGCAAACTTTTTACCCCAGGTAAAACAGTCGCTCAAATCTAAAAAAGTTAGTTACTAGCGAGTTTAAAACTTGATGTTGACAATGATCATAACAAGTCTGCAGTTAAAATTTGGATGGTTTATTAAATTTTTGAACTCGTTGTTATCTTTGGAAATGGAAGTGATGTTCTGTATCGCGGATATCCAAATCCATCAGCAATATTAAATTCGATTTCATTGGCGATTTGAACGATAGAAATATGTACTTACCCTTGTAAGTTGTATTCGCTACTGATATATGGATAATTTCCGGTTGGAACCGGATATTATCCATATAATATCAGTATTTCAATCATGAGACTAATAAACAGCGAACTACTCCGTTATTTGTATTCGCTAGATAGAAATATAGAAATATGTACTTACCCTTGTATTCGCTATATAGAAATATGTACTTACCCTTGTATTCGCTAGATAGAAATATGTACTTACCCTTGTATTCGCTAGATGGAAATATGTACTTACCCTTGTATTCGCTAGATGGAAATATGTACTTACCCTTGTATTCGCTAAATAGAAATATGTACTTACCCTTGTATTCGCTAGATAGAAATATGTACTTACCCTTGTATTCGCTAGATAGAAATATGTACTTACCCTTGTATTCGCTAGATAGAAATATGTACTTACCCTTGTATTCGCTAGATAGAAATATGTACTTACCCTTGTATTCGCTAGATAGAAATATGTACTTACCCTTGTATTCGCTAGATGGAAATATGTACTTACCCTTGTATTCGCTAAATAGAAATATGTACTTACCCTTGTATTCGCTAGATAGAAATATGTACTTACCCTTGTATTCGCTAGATAGAAATATGTACTTACCCTTGTATTCGCTAGATAGAAATATGTACTTACCCTTGTATTCGCTAGATGGAAATATGTACTTACCCTTGTATTCGCTAGATGGAAATATGTACTTACCCTTGTATTCGCCTGTATCCGAAGAGTGTATTTCAGCCAGCGTTAACAAAATGGAGATGACGACTATAAATCTCACCATCCTTCAAACGTAAAATTTTATGTAAAACATAGCTTCAGAAAATCTCAGGATCGCTGAGATTTTATTTGACATTGTACCAAGTACAGTGGTCAGAGTATGAACGGTTTGAGAACGCCTTTTTCAACAAAAATTTTTTGTACATATTCGATCTATAAATCATTTTAGAAGCGGTTGGCACTTGGCAGCCTGCAGCCTGATGATTTGTTTACAAATTTTCAAATAGTTGGCTCATATTTAGCGCTATCGGCTATTTAATTCGGCCTGTGTTTGGTTCCAAAGTAATGTAATGTGTAAATATGTTATGTTAAGATCAAAACCATTTTATTTGTTTGAACATTTCGCATGAGTACAGAGTAGTCATAAGTGTAATGATGAATTTATTGCGGCCGCGGGCACCCTGTCATTCGGTCATCCTACGACCTACAGCTCAATATGCTCATTTTCATGGCGTTACCATGACGTGTGCAGACTCGGTTGATCAGAGGAGCGATACAGTTTAACCGAAAATATGCGCCAACGTAGTAAATTTGCGGATTTTTGTTACTTATTTAGTAAAACTGAACGGCAAACCGAGTACCGACAAACCAACGCGAACGATGCAAAGGTTTAAATAATGAAACAAACTGGAAACAAACATCAAACAAGTTATATGCCGCGCGTTTTTGCATTCTGGTTGCACTGCGCGGCGGAAGAGTGTAAAATTACACACGTGACAGAGTTGCACGTGGGCTACGTTTCAAAACTTTTACACGTGTTTAAATTGTAAGTACAAGTTTCTTTCAAAATTACGTTGTTTAGTAGTGGAACAGCAATACTTAGGTAATGGGACTACTGCAGACCCTCTACCGGCCAAACCTTGTTAACAAAATTACGTTGTATGTAGAAAATCAAATTCATGTAATGATAATAATAAATAAAATGAGGGGCACCGTTATTTTGATCCAAAGTGTGACAAGATCCAGAAGTGAGAAGCGAAAAAGGTTATTTTATTATTAATTAAGGCGTGTAAAATTATTTTCGCCGGTATTTTGTCATGTAGAACCTCCTACAGCCTTTTTGGATATCATCGATTTTCGCGAATCTCAAAAATTGCAAGCTATCTAGACCCTAGAAATAAACGTCAATTTACATTGTCATACGTTGTATGACCCGCCGCGCACGAGTGCGCGGCTCCCCCTGTATCGTCGAAACTCTACAGTGAAGCGACAGTGGGGGTCAGTGTCAGGGGTTCACCACGTGATACAAAATTTACAATGCTGGTTTGGCTAGTAAGTTGTGTCCAAATGGCAAATACCTTTGTTTAAGATTGAACTTGAAGATACGGCGGACACAGTAATTTTAAAATGATCCATGGATTTTGATTACCGATACCAATTCTTTGCGCAGTTTACAAAATATGACAAGCGTTGTTTTTATAAAAATAAAGTACTGAAGTCCTAATCCATATTCAAACTGTAATTTTGAATAAATTATAAAGTTTCTTATTCATGTAGGTAGAAAAGTAAAAATGAAACTATGGTATAGCATTTCATAAAAGTCAAACTTGGTATTTATCATCAGTGTTGCTTGATCACGAAATATTGATAAAATATCGCATTTAAGAAACTATAAAATAAATTGTGCAAATAGAAATACAAATAAAGAACTGTAAATATATCCATTATGAATCAAAAGGTGTGAGATTAAACAAATTCAAACTCTACCTGCCCTAATTGTAATTAAAATTTGGTAAACTCTCAATAAATCTGGAATTTGGTTGGGAGTTAAAAGATATTTTTCCTGAGACGTGACTGGTAGTGGTAGCAGCGAATGATCATTAATAAATCAGCTTCCATCATTGACCAATTTAATCCCTGAAGCACTGTCAAGTGTCAAAACAAATATTTTTCACCTCCCCGTTCTAATCCAGATATTTGAAAAAAATATTTGTGTACGATAACATTATAAAATAATTGTGATATTATGACGAAAAAGCGTTCAAAGTCTATCATTGTCTTGAAAAATGAAATGAACTCCATTTATAAAATATAATCGCGACAAATAACATTTAAACACTGACATGGTCCATAAAACATAGCCGATGGGCAATTATTCATTGTTTATACTCCAGCGTAACGTTTAAAGAGTAAGGAATGGAAATTCATATTTCTTTTATTCCTATCCTAAAATTAGTCTTCAGTTGGAAGAGTTTGATATTCCGTCGTTCTGGCCAACTATCGATATCTGAAAGAAGTAAAGCTGTGTATAATTATAAATGAAGTACCAAAGTAATATCACATAGAATTTGGGGGTAAATTCCTCTTTCTAGTCAATCTGGGGAAATTAAGCTTTATAAAGTTAACCACTTAAAGTTAAGGTATCAGAAAACTTTTGCAAACCTTTTCTTAAGCATTAAGCTATATCACTTGTTGGACTATCAAAGATTGCAGTGAGCAGTAGCAATAATAGGTCTTCTGGTGGTTTTGTTGGTTCAGTATTCATGCGCTGCACAAAAACCTGATGGAAAATGTCATCAGTAAATTTTAGTGTAAAATGATGTATCGTTATTTCGAGTATACCCGTTGATTTATCGAAAATAAAGCATGATGTCAGATTTGTGCTTCATCTGCCCCAATCCATAATTACGAAACCATGGTCAAGATTCACTTATTTAAAATTTCGTTACCTGGAAGTCAAGATAGAGACAGGATTAGTTAAAAGGTTCTCCTTTATTTTTCCGTCAGAGCTTTTGTAGTTCATGATCATTACCATTTACAATTTTCTATTTATTAATTGTATCTTGCATTTTGCTTATGCATGATACAATTAACATTCTAAATTATTTTAATAACGATTCTAAGCGATAAAAAACATATAATTGTGAGTAATCTAGATAATAATTAAATGTTAAAGCAACATCGTGAACAAAAAACATTCCCATGAGTTTTGCTGCACGATATCACACCTTAATTAATCAACTTAATAATAAACTATAATATTAACTTTTTTATACATGTTGGGAGACGTATAGGTTTGTTGGGGACCCATTCTGGAAACAACTGACCTTCTTTCTCTAATCCGATATTAATTGGTTGTTTTCGTACCTGTTTTTACACAACCAGAGTTGGTGAGACAACAAGTCAGGTTCAGCCCCCCGTTCTGACAGGTCGCTATCATTTCACTCTTGTTACAGTCTCGGTTAGTGTACTTTCTCTTGCACTTTAGCTGGATAATGTCACCGTGCTTCACTGGTAGTTGAGTCAGTTCAGGTTCCATGATTGATAGGTTCTTCCATGAAGGATCCATTGGTATTACAGTGCACTTCGCTGTGAAAATATTAGAAACGTTAATATATAGATATGAATGCATTAAAATAATTTATAAAATAATCCTTTTTTTTTCGTCATAGAGGAATTTTACCTAGCTTGCTAGTCTATTGCACGCTCCTCTCCTATTCAGGAAGCTTGAAAAGAGCGCCGCGCACATAGATTGGCGAGCCAGGTAAAAATAAGCGAATATTTGTTTTTTCACCTTTACAAGAAGGTTCCGGGTCAGCTTCAAACTGAGAATCGTTCAAACAAGTCACCGTATTGTTGCCCACAATATCATGGTCCGGTTCTCCACACTGAACTGTCAGCACTGTCCCCGGTATCACCGGAAACTTCGTTACAGTGATCATGTCACTCCACGTTGGATCCAATGCCGTGCACGATTCTGGGATGAGCAAAAACTGATCATTGAATGGCATAAATTAAATTATTACAGAATATTTTTGTGTTAATTCTGAGAAAGATGGCATTATAAAGCAATGAAAGGCATTAGTTTGGTCAAATCAAACGGAACATATGCTATCAGACTTTCAACTGACTAAGGCAGGGTTTATAACAGCCATTACTGCTGTACGGCAAGTTAAACAAGGAACTGAAACTACTAGGTTCCGTACAGACTCAACTCTGCACCCATGTCAATATGTTCATTATATGCAAGCCTCTTGATTTATTACATATAGCCATTCACTGTTACAATGCACTAGAATTTAACATAACTTACCACAAGAAGTCCGCTCTGTGTTAACTTGCTGTCCCTCTTCACAATCAGTGCAATCTGTAGCACCGGCAGCACTGTAGGAGTTTGCCCTGCACTGATCACATTGGGTCATCTTACCATTTCTGTAGTATCCAGATTTACAGTCCACTGAAATAAATAATATTAGTATACTTAGCTTGAGGAACAGAATTTAGAGATGATACCAAGTTAGATCCAGTAATATCAATATTAGATTAATTTTGTTAGAAGTTAAAATCAAAGAAAGTTCATATGATTAGTGACTTACTACAACCAGTTCTTTCTGTGTTAACTTGCTGTCCCTCTTCGCAATCAATACAAGCTGTAGCACCGGCAGCACTGTAGGAGTTTGCCCTGCACTGGTCACATTGGGTCATCTTACCATTTCTGTAGTATCCAGGTTCACAGTCCACTGAAATAAATAATATTAGTATACTTAGCTTGAGGAACAGAATTTAGAGATGATACCAAGTTAGATCCAGTAATATCAATATTAGATTAATTTTGTTAGAAGTTAAAATCAAAGAAAGTTCATATGATTAGTGACTTACTACAACCAGTTCTTTCTGTGTTAACTTGCTGTCCCTCTTCGCAATCAATACAAGCTGTAGCACCGGCAGCACTGTAGGAGTTTGCCCTGCACTGATCACATTGGGTCATCTTACCATTTCTGTAGTATCCAGGTTCACAGTCCACTGAAATAAATGACATTGGTATACTTAGCTTGAGGAACAGAATTTAGGAATAATACCAACTCCAAGTTAGCTTCAGTAATATTAATATTAGATGAATTTTGTTAGAAGTTAAAATCAAAGAAAGTTCATACGATTAATGACTTACTACAACCAGTTCTCTCTGAGTTGACTTCTTTCCCTTCTTCACATTCAACACAGATATTAGCACCCTCGGAACTGTAAGTGTTGGGTTTACACTCAGTGCAATCTGTAGCACCGGCAGCACTGTAGGAGTTTGCCCTGCACTGGTTGCATTGGGTCATCGTACCATTTCTATAGTTTCCAGGTTCACAGTTCACTGAAATATATAATATCAGTATACTAGTTTATAAAGAAGATATCAGTATTTCCGCGTCATGATTTACAAAATTATAAGTTACTTATTACAAATTATTATTAAGTTACTTTCTTTTACTTGACTGTAAGTTCTTGAATTATATTAATATTATGTTAAGCCGTAGTACATACATATTACATTACACTGGATCGAGCTTACACAGTGTAATTTCCTCCAGTCTGCGCCGCGCGCCTATATAAACGTACGCGGCGTAGACTGGAGGAAATTACACTGTGTAAGCTCCAGTGTAATGTAATATGTATGTACTACGGCTTTATGGTGTAACTGTATTATGGTTTGATATCGAAATTTACGATACTGTCTATTAAAGCACTAGCATTAATCAATCATACTGGCTATGAATGCATTTGGTGGTTCTACACAGCAGAATGATGGAGTGACATGCAGAGCCACGTTATTAAGATTAAGCTCGTATAATGGCTTTAGAATCTAACCTGGAATACACTCCCAAGTGGTGGTTAAGTATTTGTCTTCTCCAGGACAGGGATCTCCAAATTCCTTATTTGTTGCAGATACTTCACAGGAACTCTTCTCATTACACTTCCCTCTCATCACCTGAATATACGGTAAATTATCAGAAATGCAATTTGTGTATAATCCCTCACTCAAACTGTAATTCAAATTGTATTGGAAAGGCGATTATTTATTATTGTCAATTCCTTCATAGCACCTCAAGTGAAGTTTCTGAGATACAGTCTCCATTGTAAAAACAACCACAAGTGTTATTATTCGAGTAAACACCATAGGCTGCATACGTGATATTTATCACCCCCTCGCCACAGTTGATTGACAACGGAATTTTGCTATGTTCGCATGCCTCTGCTGTGTAAAGACCTGAATTCATGTTTTAAAGATACAATCTACAGAGTTAAAAATAGCCCCCTCGGCCCTCCCGGTCCCTTTCCCCTACAAAGTTACCGTAAGATTTTAATGCTAATATAAATATAAATTTCAAGCCGGAACGGCACATGAAATGCCACAATAGTAATAGTATTTAAGCAATGACTTACTGTTCTCCATCTCTGTCATTTGCAGTCTTACTAGTACTAACAAAGTTAGCACAGAGAAAATTTGTATCCTCATTGCGTTCGCGTGAAATCCCGTCATATTCACGTTAGTCCTTCAGACCAACGCAATCAAACATTTTCTGCAGATCAGTCAACGGCATTAAAGAATAACATCTTTACAAACAATAATTTTAAACCATGAAACAAATTAGAATTGGGTAGGTGGGTAGGTGGGTAGGTGGGTAGGTGGGTAGGTGGGTAGGTGGGTAGGTGGGTAGGTGGGTAGGTGGGTAGGTGGGTAGGTGGGTAGGTGGGTAGGTGGGTAGGTGGGTAGGTGGGTAGGTGGGTAGGTGGGTAGGTGGGTAGGTGGGTAGGTGGGTAGGTGGGTAGGTGGGTAGGTGGGTAGGTGGGTAGGTGGGTAGGTGGGTAGGTGGGTAGGTGGGTAGGTGGGTAGGTGGGTAGGTGGGTAGGTGGGTAGGTGGGTAGGTGGGTAGGTGGGTAGGTGGGTAGGTGGGTAGGTGGGTAGGTGGGTAGGTGGGTAGGTGGGTAGGTGGGTAGGTGGGTAGGTGGGTAGGTGGGTAGGTGGGTAGGTGGGTAGGTGGGTAGGTGGGTAGGTGGGTAGGTGGGTAGGTGGGTAGGTGGGTAGGTGGGTAGGTGGGTAGGTGGGTAGGTGGGTAGGTGGGTAGGTGGGTAGGTGGGTAGGTGGGTAGGTGGGTAGGTGGGTAGGTGGGTAGGTGGGTAGGTGGGTAGGTGGGTAGGTGGGTAGGTGGGTAGGTGGGTAGGTGGGTAGGTGGGTAGGTGGGTAGGTGGGTAGGTGGGTAGGTGGGTAGGTGGGTAGGTGGGTAGGTGGGTAGGTGGGTAGGTGGGTAGGTGGGTAGGTGGGTAGGTGGGTAGGTGGGTAGGTGGGTAGGTGGGTAGGTGGGTAGGTGGGTAGGTGGGTAGGTGGGTAGGTGGGTAGGAAAGTTGTCAATGATACGGTATACAGAATAAAGCAACGAAAGGAACCAACGGTTGAAGACTCTAAATGACCTTAGTTTAAGATTGAAAATACGACGGACACAGTAATTTTAAAATGATCCATGGATTCTGATTACCGATACCAATTCTTTGCGCAGTTTACAAAACATGACAAGCGTTAATTTTGTAAAAATAAAGTATATTGAAGTCCTAATCCATATTCAAACTGTAATTTTGAATAAATGATAAAGTTTCTTACTCATGACCATGTCGGTAGAAAAGTAAAAATTAAACTCTGGTATAGCATTTCATAAAAGTCTAATTTGGTATTTATCATCAGTGTTGCTTGATCACGAAATATTGAAACAATATCGCATTTAAGAAACTATAAGATAAATTGTGCAAATTAAAGAAATAAAAATAAAGAATTACAAATATAACCATTATGAATCAAGAGCCGTGAGATTAAACAAATTCAAACTTTACTCGCCCTTAACTTTAAGTTGGTAAACTCTATAAATCTGGATTTTTTCTGAACGATATTTTTCCTGAGACGTGACTGGTAGTGGTGGCAGCGATTAATCATTAATAAATCGAATCAGCTTCCATCATTGACCAATTTAATCCCAGAAGCACTGTCAAGTGTCAAAACAAATATTTGTCACCTCCCCGTCTTAATCCAGATATAAAAGAAATAATATTTTTGCACGATAACATTTAAAAAAACGTCGCAAAATATGTCAGTCTCTTGAAAAAGAAGTAGAGAATGAACACCATTAATCAAATGTAATCATGACAAATAAAATACTAAACACCGACATGGTCCATAAAACATAGCCAGTTGGCAAATTCATTGTTTATACTCCAGCTTATCGCTCAAAGAGTAAGGAAAAGAAATTCATATTCCTTTTATTCCTATCCTAAAATTAGTCTACAGTTGGAAGAGTTTTATATTCCGTCATTCTGGCCAACTATCGATATCTGAAGGAAGTAGAGCTTTTTAAATGAAGTACCAAAGTAATGTCACGTAGAATTTGTGAGTAAATTTCTCTTTCTAATCAATCTGAAGAAATTAAGCTTTATAAAGGTTACCACTTAAAGTTAAGGTATCAGAAAACTATTGCAAACCTTTTCATAAGCTGTCACTTGTTGGACTATCAAAGATTGCCGTGAGCAGGAGCAATGATAGATCTTCTGATGGTTTTGTTGGTTCAGTATTCATGCACTGCACAGAAATCTGATGGAAAATGTCATCAGTAAATTCATGCGCTGCACAGAAATCTGATGGAAAATGTCATCAGTAAATTTTAGTGCAAAGTGATGTACCGTTATTTCAAGTATGCCCGTTGATTCATCGAAAATAAATCATGATGTGTGCTTCATCTACCCCATCCAAGATAATTACGAAATTGGTCAAGATTCTCTTATTTAAAATTTTGTTACCTGGAAGTCGAGATAGAGACAGGATTAGTTAAAAGGTTCTCCTTTATTTTTCCATCAGAGCTTTTGTTGTTCATGATCAGTACCATTTACAATTTTTTATTTATTAATTGTATCTTGCATTTTGCTTATGCATGATACAATTAACATTCTAAATTATTTTAATAACGATTCTAAGCAATAAAAAACATATAATTGTGAGTAATTTAGATAATATTAATAATTAAAGCAACCTCGTGAACAAAAAACATTCCCATGAGTTTTGCTGCACGATATCACACCTTAATTAATAAACTTAATAACTAATAAACTATAATAATAACTTTATTATACATGTTGGGAGACGTCTAGTTTTGTTGGGGACCCTTTCTGGAAACAACTGACCTACTTTCTCTAATCTGATATTAATTGATTGTGTTCGTACCTGTTTTTACACAACCAGAGTTGGTGAGACAGCTAGTCAGGTTCAGCCCCCCGTTCTGACAGGTCGCTATCATTTCACTCTTGTTACAGCCTCGGTTAGTGTGCTTTCTCTTGCACTTTAGCTGAATAATCTCAGCCGTGCTTCACTGGTAGTTCAGGTTCCGTTATTGCTAGGTTCTTCCATGAGGCATCCATTGGCATTACAGTGCAGTTAGCCAATGGTTCTGAAACAAATCGGATATATACGAGTCTTTTTAGTAATCTTTCGGAAAATTAATTTATCAATTATTAATTTATCAATTACGGTATTGAACGGGCAATCAACTAAAGGTGAAGTTATGAAAGGTGAAGTTATGAAGGGTGAAGTTATAAAGGGAGAAATAAATATTCTTGGTTGATGGAAATCTATGAATTCCGCGTGTTTTAAAAAGTCGAATTACCTTCTTTTACTTACCACAAGCAGTCTGGTCGGAGTTGACTCTTTCTCCTTCCCCGCATTCTATACAAGAAGTCTTGTCAGCAGGTCTGTAACTGCTGGCTCCACAGGGAGTGCAGGAACTAGAACCAGGCTCACTGTAGCCTGGGGACCCCAGGCTAATAGAATTCATAGAAGCTGCGGCGGAATGACAGGCTGAGCGCCGCCCAGTAAGTCGTTCCACACAGCTGTGTTTTTAAATGTTTTACTTTCTTTTACCTACCACAAGCAGTCTGGTCGGAGTTGACTCTTTCTCCTTCCCCGCATTCTATACAAGAAGTCTTGTCAGCAGGTCTGTAACTGCTGGCTCCACAGGGAGTGCAGGAACTAGAACCAGGCTCACTGTAAGTGTTAGGTTCACAGTCCTGGCAAGTGTTCAGCTCAGAGTCAGAGTTCTTGTATGTGTTAACCGGACAGGAAACTGAAGAATAAAATAAGATATCAGTATATCCGCGTGATTTACAAAAGTAAAGGTATAAATTAAGTTATTTTCCTTTTGTTGAATTATATCAGTATCATGTTATTGTTATGGCGTATAATTCTGGTTTGATATCGAAACTTATGAGCTTGGCCTTGATTTCCCTCTGTAGCATTAATTACTAGTAGTAGTATGGAATATGGATGTATTTGGTGGTTCTACACAGCAGAATGATGGGGTAGACATGCAGAGTCACGTGATTAAGATTAAGCTCGTATAATGGCTTTAGAATCTAACCTGGAATACACTCCCAACTGCAGGGACAAAAGGATTTCGCGATTATTTTGGCCAAAAATCGCGGTACCGCGAAATTTAACAGGCTATACATTAAACTATACATAAAATTTGTCGCGGAGAATGGGAAATTTCGCGATTTCGTACATGCCGCGAAATCCTTTTGTCCCTGCTCCCAAGTGGTGGTTAAGTATTTCTTTACTCCAGGACAGGGATCTCCAAATATAGTATTTTTTTGCAAATACTGCACAGGAACTCTTCTTATTGCAACTCTCTTTCATCACCTGAATGTGATTAATGATTAGAAATGCGACCTATGCAATATGCATAATCCCTCACTCAAACTATATTTGTATTAGAGGAACGGATATTTATTATTTTCAATTCCTTCATAGTCAGGATGGAATGGAGTGACGCCCCCCGCTAGCAGAATGGCAGTTGTAACAGACGTGCTAGCTAGAAGTCTACCTTTGCTCACCTTACTTCTCCTTATGCCAATGTCTTCGACTCTGAACATTTCAAGTTGGAACCTCAATGGTATTAGAGGTAACATTCTTAGGAGACAACATTTAGTAAGCGACGCTATACGTTATCATTTAGATGTAGTGTGTCTCCAAGAGACAAAATGCCGAGACTTCGAGGAAACAATTATTGACGGTCACAAACTTGTAACACTAGCCCAATCAGACAATTGGTATCATTATGGTCTCGGTTTTCTAATCTGCCCAGCCCTTGTACCTTCTATTGTTGCATGAAGATCACTTAGTAACAGAGTGGCTTTCATTGATATAAGACTCACAGAACGCAACGGATCTCATCGTATGATCAGGATCGTTAACGTGTACGGACCAACCAAGAAGATTGTCGATGATGACATCAGTAGGGTCACAGGTAACTCCCCATTGTTACAATCATATTTCAATGACCTGAAAACTGCTATCAATATCCCAGCTCGATACGATTTGTATGTTGCTGGAGATTTTATAAAATAACGCCCGCCTTGGGAGATGCAGTAGGAGAGAGTATGATGCTGGCCTTAATAATCATATTGGTCAGTTCGGTAATGGTCTGAGAAACAGGAACGGCGAGTTTCTACTGGACTTTATTGTTGATAATGGTCTGTTTGCGTGCAATACTGCGTTCCAACACAGAGCGAAGTATATTACCACCTGGAAGGCTAGATGTGTTCCCAAGGGCAGACCCAAGGGATCAAAAGACACTGTGAACTATTTTAAACAAATTGATTACCTATAATTTATGTCGTACTAATTTTAAAGTCTGTTTAACAGACTCCCGCTCTTTTTGCGGTGATTTTGTGAAATCTGACCATAAACCTGTGGTCGCACGTTTTAAACTTGGTTGTAATTACATTGTACATAAGCGGCCCAGGTCTGACAAAATAAAGTTGGATGTCAATCGCCTTAATGATTCTGATATAAAGTCTAAATTTTTTGATTCTTTTAAAAGTAATATTGATTGTAGAGTTTTAACTAAAAATGCTATTTCTGAAAATTCTGATATATTCGATATAATATATCGAATATATATAATAATCGGATATATTAAGTAAATGTGCCGTCCAGGTGGTTGGTAAAATGCCCCCGAGGAAGCCTCATCAGTACAGCGATGATCCAACTTGATTCACGATGTCAATCCTTCGCAGCTCGGTGAGGCACAGTGGTGCATTTCGCCGATCTTGCGAGAAGAATTATTTGATGCGCGGCGCGACCCAGTAGTGAATCGCGCTACAACGATCCAACTGTCGCTAAACTTTCAGCAGAGAGAAAGTCCCTTCAGCAAGAATGTAGCCTCACAGGGATAAGTGACAGGAGTGACCTCAGGTATGTGTCAAACAATTGTTTAACTTCAAGATTTATGAAAAATTATGTTATTACAAAGAGTAGCGGAGAATTTTTCCACAATTAGATCAAAAATCAGTTTTCAGCGATTTTACATGACACGGGGAAAAACGTCCGCAGTAAATCTAGATTTGCAGAAATCGGGAGTTAACACCACCATCAGGAGTGATTATTCAGAGCTTGGTATGTTTTAAGTGCTTGTAGTACTGTGTAATGGGGAGTGTTTGGTGGAATAACTATTAACTTCTTTACTTAATCTACGAGGACGACTCCTCTTCGCAGTGTGAACTTTTTGCACGAGGGTTCATATGTGATACAGCTCCACAGTCTAGTGGAAGAAAGTGGTATTTAATACAATGTGAATCGAAATTATACCAGAAGTTCTGTATAATTATATCTTTAGTGTATTTAATTTCAAGATAACCAATTAATTCTTTATTAACAGCAAGTGTGAATTACTGACCGGGTCGATTGGGACATTCACTCTGAGCTTCCAGAAGACTGTCGTACTTGATTGTTCCTGCGCTGTAGCCGCCCAGATATTTACCAGGGTTCTTGCTCTGGTTACTGGAAGCAAATAATTATAATTTCAAGCCTGAACGGCACATGGTTTGGGCATAGGGCGAGGGACAAATCTTAATTTGCTAAATTAATGGTAAGCGCCCATTAAAATAGATTGAACTCTGCTCATTGACAAAAAAGTTAACGGTAAGCAAACTTGGAATTTTGTCAAAAGTGACTGGTTTTGGGTTAAACTTATGGTAAGGGCAAAAGGGAAAAGCGAGCGACCGATTTAACTCTCGGTATCATTTTGCATTTGAGAACGGTCATTATAATTAGGAGATAGAGAGAACTTTGCTCATTCCCAAATGTCAGTTGAAGAGAAAATGACAGATGTGAAGAATAATGTTAAGGATGCAGTTCTTCTGGCTTTATCAGAGGGGAAAATCACAGAAAAAGACAAGAAACTCATTACTGGACTTAATGAAAATAATAACCAAATGCATGCACATGTATTCAAACCAGTAGTCCCTTATGTGTACCCTCTATTTAAGCTGCATAAATTAAGTCCACAACAGATTGAGGGGAAAATAGTTCCCCCTACCAGGCTTGTCCATGCCACTAAGGAAGGCCCCCTTTACAGACTAGAAAAGTGGGTTAGCCCATACCTAACAGATATAAGTAGGATTTATTGCCAACAGGAGTTTCTCCTGGATACACCAGACCTTCTCAGTAACATAAAAAACCTTAATGAATCTGCAGACATGTCAAAATATAGCACCATCAACTTGTTTACTTTAGACGTGATCAGTCTGTATCCAAGCATAAAACCTGAAATAGCTATGTCTGCATTGGAACATGCCCTGAACGGTAGTGCTATGATTGATAAACGAAAGGCTATTCTGAAAACATTCACGGAGATTATCTTCACAAACTCCTTTGTCACTTTTCAAGAAAATGTGTACACAGGCAAAAAGGGTATCCCAACTGGAAATTGTATTTCGCGTCAAGTCGCTGATATCATGCTTCATTGGGTGCTGTTCATCAACATCTGGCCTGAAATGATACAGCTATGGAGTCTTATTTTATTCTGGCGACGCTTCATCGACGATGTCTTTGGAATTTGGAAGGGCTCCAGGAGGCAATTTGATCTTTTTGTGTCGAAACTAAATGAAGCCGCAAAACGATTTGGAATTCAGTTCGGTGATTGTCAGTTTGGCAAATCAGTTAACTACTTGGATGTAGAACTCTCACTGGGGGAGAACAACAACATCGACTACAGACTATTTAAGAAAGAGACTGATGCCAGGCTTTACCTTAATACTGATAGTTTCCACCCAAACCACGTCTTTAAATCAGTAGTATTCTCACAGATGATCCGAGTGATCAAGCGAAATTCGCAGGATCACACATGTGTGGAGGACCTGGAGGAACTTAAAGAAGACCTAATGAAAAGTGGACACAAGGAGGGGACCTTAACGGAAACAGAGCCTGAAGCAGTCTTGAGGTCAATAGAACACGATTTGTATGAGAGGGAAGATAAGAAGCCAATCACTGATAAAGTTGTCTTTTCAGTGAAATTTTTCAAAGAGGTCACTGAACTTAGGAAGTTGGTACACACTACTAGTGAGGACATCAAACAATTATGCGGAGACGTACAGATATTGTTTGCACTACGTAAACACCCATCTATAGGCAACACAGTAGTGCGCAATAGAAAACTCAGTTCGTGCTCCGAAACGGATTCTTTCACCGTCAGCCAAAACTGTGGCGGGAGAGGCTGTGCAACCTGTCCCCAACTGTTCAACTCCAACGAAGTTATCACTGTCAATGGTTTGGATTTAACTCTGGATTTCCGGTTGACATGTAAGGACAGCAATATAATTTATGTCGCCCAATGCCAAATTTGTAATAAACTTCCCCAGAGCCTAAAAGACGACACCTATTTCGGCCAAACGGTTTCTCCATTTCATATCAGAATGAATGGACACAGAAACAAGTTTAAAATTGATAATGAATTGTCATTTGAGAAGTCGGCACTTTCCATGCATTGTTTTCTAGCGCATAAATCTGATTTCACTATGGGAGTTTTTAAATTAGGTGTAGTAAGAAAAGTCCGACCAACAGCACTTGATAGAGAAGAGAGCATTCTTATTTCAAAATTTAGAACTAATATTTTTGGGTTAAATAGGATTGTAGTTACTCGCTGAATAATCTGTTATGCTCTGTTGTCCATTCTACCTAGCACATTGAGCTCTTTAGTAAAGTTTCAGATTAAAATCTGTTTTGAATTTTCAAGTTGTTAACTTTTAAATTGCTTTCATTAGTCTAACCTAATTTTATTTTTATAGGCTAGTGATGTAAATATACGAAGAATTCACCTATATTTGTGCTGTCTTACTATGTGTCCAAACCAAATTCATTATAATTAATATCATTTCCTTTTGTTTGGGAAAGGGGGTCACTCATGGCAGCGGTCCAATCTACCCAATTATGGGTTTTGGTATAATTACGTGTAGACTAATAATAATATTTGATGAGGGGTGATATAAAACAATTACAATTTTCAGGGAGCCTTAAAATAGCTCAATT